TAGTCCCAAAAATGTTGGGGCCACACACCAACTTTTCTTAGTTATTGACAGATATATTCATATACTCTGTAGCATATAATTTTATTTTATTAATTTTAATATTAGATTTATTAATTTATGTATTGATTTTAATTTTTTTGTGTTTGGCTCCTTCCTTTAAATACCTCACGCACCTCTACCCTCATTTCGTTCCATATCAAACCAAAAGAAATTCCTACACTCCTCACTCTCTCTTCTTACTCCCAAACCCCTCCAAAAAAAAAACACCCATAAATAAATAAAAACCTACATAGTACTTTTTATATTTTAAAAAAATGGAAATAGAACCAAGTAATAAAAAAATCATTGGAAAAAAATTATGGAGCATTCTTCGAATAGTGTTGATGATGGTAAAGAAAGGCATTTCAAAGAGCAAGTTAATCTTAGACCTTAATTTGCTCTTTAAGAGAGGTAATGAGTTAGCTGGTAAGGCCATTAATGGTTTTATAATCCACCACAATTCCCTTATTTGTAAGCCTAACAACCCTAACTACCACTTTACTTCTCCTAAGGGTTACGAGTTTAGTTGTAGCAACACACCCAAGTCTGGCCCATTTCAACTCATGATGGCTAACCAAAAGAGGTCTAAGTCCAAGCATGGCCACCGCCGCCACAACTACCAACTCGAGAACCCTTCAACCATGTCAGCTGTTCAAAGGGTCCTCGAGATGCTTAATACCCATGAGGGGCCTACGGCATCCCCCTTGGGAACAGGGATGGGAATTGGCGGGCAGGGACATAATGCCCTGTCCGGGTTTGGATATGAGAAAAGTCCGTTGGTCAGACAATTAAGAGTAACAGATTCTCCTTTCCCGTTAAAAGACGGGAAAGGGAATAAAGAAGAGGAGGAGGAGGATGTTAAGGTTAATAAGGCCGCGGACGAGTTTATTAAAAAGTTTTATAAGAATTTGATGATGCAAAAATCTTTGGAATCCCCTTGTCATGTATATGCTCGTTGATGATGTCCTATCAATTAAGGGATGATTTCATAAAAGGGTATACCATATGATTATATTGGATTTATTTTTAGAAAGGATACTACAAGGTATACATTATATATCCTCAAATTAGATCCATAAAGATGATCCAATATATACTTCTATGTTGCAATATTTGATGGTATATTAATTTGAGGTAGTTGTTTTGAAATTGTATTTTTTTTATTAAAGAAAGTGGTTGGTTGCTATTCTTGTTAAGAAGTATAGAGGGACCAAGAAATTGACAATTTGACACGTACTTTTATTTTTGGCCTTAGTTGTTTGTTTGTTTTTTTAGGGGATGGATGAGTGAATTAAATACCAAATTACCAACCATTTATTTTATTTTTGGGTTCATCTTGAAATTTTAAATTGCATAATTTAATTTACAAGTTAAAAATAAAAAAAAAGACTTTGGTGGACTTTGCACTTTCTTCTCCTCGAATTCATTAAAAGCAGCTGATAAGCTCATAAAATTAGGTGTATATTATGGGTGAGTATGGAAAACCAAGAATATCAATTGAGTACATTTGTAATTGAACTATGCAATGACCCCAAAGTCTAAGAAGCAAAATGAGAAATTGACATAATTATTTATTAATAATTAATTAGCTCATTTCTCTTAAATAATTTTTGACTATCTAGTGGATCATTGGACTAATTGACATATACACGTAGAGTGTTGACAAATGTATATTTATTTCTAACATAAAATTAAATTAATCAATACAGGAAATTATTATGAAAAGTAATATGAATTATTGCTCATAACCGGATATAAAAATTAGGCGAATTTCATCTAAACATATGTGTAATAAGTACGTGTCCTCCTTATTTATCAACTCAAGCATTCCGTATTTTACAATAATTGAAAATTAATTGATAAAGTTTTTATATTATAGAATCAATAAAGAATTTAAGAGCCAAGCATATTGCTTGCATTAAGACTAATCACAAAGTTAAAATACGGAATATGTACATGGTTAATTATAGAAATTATTACTAAATGTGATTATTAAAATAATACGGAGTATCTTACATTTGATATCCTTAGCTTTATTTCTTGTAATGAATATATGTCTGTTAATAATAAGATGGGGAATATCGAAAATGTGGATACTTAGCTTTTAGAAGTAAGTGAGCTGGTAAATTTGGATTTATTAAGGTATTTTAAGATATTGTCAATTCTTGTGATTGAGCAATTGTTAATCAAGGGCTTTTAAAATTGTTTTCGTGGCTTTTAGTGCATCTACGTCGCAACTATTTAACTAAAATTGAGGAAAAAGAAAAAGAAATATAACAAGCGCCATGCATGAGGGGGGAAAGCACGAGGAAGTTGGAATCACTTTACATGTAGCTTGTTTTTGCTTTACCAAAAAGCCATTCCAATAATAATTAGAGGGATTACACTATGATATCACCATTCATACATAATTTTTTTTTTTTTTTAATAAAAAAGAGTTTATGAGAGGTATTAGGGTCTATAAATCCAAATGTACTTGTTATAGGGAGGAAAATCGAGTTGCAGATTAACTAATAAGATATTGTCAATTTTAGAAGAGGATCGGGTTATAGAAGGAACATTTACACATATTATTTTGGATTTATTTATTTACTAAGTTTTTTTTTTTTTTTTTTTTTTCAATTTTTAGCTTATTCTGTGGCTATTTTAATTGAGTTGATTATTGGAAATTGTAGCCAAGATTTAGCTCATATTAAATAATGTGCGTTATATAATCAACTTTTTTTTACCTATCATATACATTTTCGTTAAAGGCATCATTTAATCATTTATAATTTTAATTATGCATCAAATTAAAAATTAAAATTTATACAAATGTAATATTTGTTATGTTTACAATGAGATGATTATATGATGAATTCTAGATATATATAAAACTTGATCAAATTTAGTATATATAAATAGTGTAAATCAGCTTTTTGCAAAGTTGGCATCCTCTAATAGCTAGCTTTATTTATGGTGGTACTAATAAATAATGGGAATATACTTATTTATGGTGCAAAGAAGGGTCCCACGGGGCCGAAATCATCATAACTTTGTAACTCATCAATTACATATATAGGGCACATTCTTGGATAGAGGAGGATAAGGGAAATCCAATCTCAATACCCTAGAGTTTCGTCTGAGGGAGGAGTACATTGAAAGCGTGACTAGTATATATGGTGTCGGAGTTGTTTACTTCGTATCTCCAAGTAGTGTTATAAAGCAACATCATCTCATTTAGTCATATAATTGATAGAATACGATATTAAAACGCACCAACAATATATGTTAAGGGAATAGAGTGGATCGAAGACTTTAATTTTAATTACAACAAACCAATAAACTTGGTGTGAATGTGACTTATATTATCATTATTATGATTTTATTTACTTGAATATATATTAATCCTTATTTTGTTCTACATTGTTGGTTAATACATATTCTTGTGCAAGATAGCTTTATGTATATCTCAAATTCATTAAAACAAGCTCCTACATATGTCCAATCAAAATCACATGTACCATTAGGGGTGTTCACCGGTCCAAAACCGGACCGGACCGGGACCTGAATTAGGGGATTTTGTGGACCGAAGACCGAACCTGATTCAACATGTCCGGTTCTGGGCCAGACCTGAAAAATCAGGTCCGGTCTGGGTTTGGACCTGAATAGACCTGTTTTGTTATTTTTTTTGTTTTTTTAATAAATAACCTGTTAGACCTGCATATGGACCTGTATATGGACCTGTTTTGTGATTTTTAGACCTGTTGCATAATTTAATAATTACATACAATCCCAAATTATCAATCATTTTTTTTTTGATTTTTAGACCTGTTGCATAGACTTGTATATGGACATGAATAGACCTGTTTTGATTTTTGAATTTTTTTTTTTTTTTTTTATATTTAAAAAAAAAAAAAATTTACCGGATTTCAGGTCCGGACCTGAAAACCCCGGTTTTGGACCTGATCCGGAAACCTTGAATTTCAAGGACCGGGACCGAACCTGAATCTACAGGTTCGGATCAGGTCCAGTCCCAACAGGTCCGGTTCAGGTCGGTTTTCAGGTCCGGTCCTATTTATGTACACCCCTATGTACCATGTATCTTACCTAAGTATAAAAGAAGTTAAAAATATATCCATATCAAATATATGTGACAACACCCTTTTTCAACATTTTTCCCTCAACTCAACCAAATGATCAAAGGAGATGTTATGAGGGAGAAATGTAGGAGAGGATTGAGTGAGGCCGTGAGGGGATAGATGGATGAGTTGGATGAAATAAGTGATACGCTTATATGTTAATTGAAGACCCTTAAATTTAGAATGAAAAGAGTCATTCTATATCTAATCACTTACTTTGTCTGATTTAAATTGTCACCTTAATAGTTCGAATAATAAAGTCGGTTTTCATACAAAAATTTGCTTGTCATGTACCAAATTTTGTTTTACATCCAAAATGTGTCATATCCAATCTATGTTTGACCCGAGACATGCCTTTCAACAAATTACCACATCACATCCTGAGAGGTTGTTATGTACACCCGGGTGTACTATACACCCATGAGTGTTTGTTCTTATTTTGATGATTGTTTTTCAATTATCATCAAATGAAAAGCAAAAACTAATCTTAGGTTAGTTGTGTGTACGGTACACCCGGGTGTATATAACAAATTCTATCACATCCTAGAGCTGATCAAGATTAAAGAGCACTCCGACCCAAAAAAAACACATAGCTTTGGATTGAAAATTTCCACCTGAAATTAGACTTTGGGCCGTTCAAAACCGAAATTTTGGTTATATCATCCCGGCCCATATATTGGCCCGTTCTATCCAAACCAATATATTCGAGCCAACCCAAGTCCAGCCCAATACATTAGCCCAAAATGAGCCATATATTTTACCAAAGTCCGGCCCATGATCCCCTCTCACTCAGCCCAAATCCTCCAACCCAAAGGCCCAAACACATTGTAACATCTGGTTGTATTGTGCGCTGCCCAGAAGTAGAAAGGCACATTTTAACTAACGACTGCCTGTTTTGTGCGCTGCCCAGAAGCTGAATTTCTTGACAAAATCGATAAACTCTAGACATTCTCAAATTTTTAAATTTTTTTTTTGTTGTTGTATATTTCGTTAATCATACAACAAATCTAATTGATCTTAAACTAACCAATTTCTTGGAATTCAGAAATTTAATCCCATTTTGTTTCATCACTTTGATTGATCAAGTCAATGGATTCCTGGCTCAAGCGTGCTGAAGGTCTTTTTCTCTCTCCTCTTTTTTTTTCATTATAATGAATTTATCGATTTTGTGTTGGCAATGTTGATGAAATTGCTTCGAAATTCTGTGATTATTGATATAATTTGTGGGTCAATTTTATATTTTCTCAATTGGATCTATATGCATTGAATAGTTCATTTTATTTTAGCACCGACACCCTGAAAAAGAAACAAAAAATTTGATGGGTAATTTTTGTTGTTGTTAATTGTGGCTTAATTGCATGGAATTTCAGTTGATTGACTTCAGTTTAGCAATTGGGGATTTGGGGTTTTGTACATTTGTAATGATTTAAGTGGGGGTTTACAAGGATGGAAGGAGGGAGATTATATTGTGGAGCAAAAACCTTGTTGTAGGTCTACATTTTGCTACGGGAAGCACTCTTATTATGTGGCGGGGCGTGGTTCGGGTGTACACTAGTGGAGGGGAACCATTGTTGATTTTAAGATGGATGATTGATCCTTGTTGGTAAGACATGAGGGCTACTTAGGATTGTTGAGGATAGTACTTAATGTTTGAGGGTTGAACATGGAGACATGGAGTAATTTGGGACTTGGGTTTGGAACACAGAGACTATTAGTGATGTAAGTAAGAATGAAATATGATACAGACCCTTGAGAGAAGTGTTTTTGAATTTATGAGCAAGGTAAGTAAGCATTCGCTAATGTTATGGTGTCTATTTGAACTTTATCTGCCATTTTGGTAAGTTAATGGTGGAATGGTTGGTGATGTTTGCACAGTTAGGGTCGTTTTTAACAGTTAGTGTATGTTAGTGTTTTTAGTCTTCAAGAACAAAATTAGTCCTTTTAGTACTCTAGCAACTTTTGCTGGGGACTATGGTAAAAGATTTTAGATTATGTTGGAGCCTTCTTTTTTTAAGCCATATTGGAGCTTGTGATAGAAATCTGAAACCTTTCTATAAATGCATGGTTCATTTGTTTGATTATATTCTTCCAGATAGAACTCATATGAGGCTTCGTGCATATTCCTGGGCTGTCTATACTATGTCAAAGTCATAGCCGAATAACCTTTATGGGATTCATCATGTGCTATTCTAGTTGTTCATACCTTTATTACTTACTAGCCCCCCGAAAGTGCATTCTACGGGTGAATCCGTAAATGTCTCCTTAAAGTCCTCTCTCTTTCGTGCTGCTTCTAACATCCAGAGTAATGTGTACCTCCATTGTCATCTGACTCTGGATTCACACTCTGTAATTGCATTGCTATATAGCTGTTTGTGCAATAAGATCTTAAAATCAGGAATTTGATATTATGTACTTTCATGTTTGAGCCATATTATTTGCTTGCATTCCGTTGAGGGCAGGGGTGTTTATTCAATAACATACCTAAATGGTTCCCTTATGTATTTTAAGTAGTAATTTATACCCTTTTTGGATCACGCTTTCATGTTTTTTCAATGACTGAGGCTATTTTTGAACTTGGAATGGGGACATCATCTTTTGCCTGCATTGCCATCATAATCCTTTTGCTCGACTTTTTTCATAAAGTGAGCCATAGCTGTTGTATTTCTGTGTGGGTGTGTCTTTGGTTCCCTTTTCACTCTATTTATATATTTATTTATTGTTCTGCGGATCAGGCCTGTTTGAAGTTGTAGATCGGAGGGCAAAGCTTGTTGCAAATGAGCTTTCAGATGAGCAGTCCAATGTACCCCAACCAGGTATTGATCTCAACTTCCATTCGAAATTTCTAAAAAGTCATTTATGCCGCTATTTATAAAGTAATTCATTTTTCTAACTACTATTGTACTATGCGTCCTCTTTTATAATATTTTTAACAATTTTTCTTCTGGTAAAGTAATTCGTTTTATGTGGGTTGTTCGGAAACAACCTTTCTAGTTGAGTTTCAGTAGTTGATATAAGGCAGTGTAAATGCGGACACCCCAAGATCTCCTTAAAAGGGTCATGGCTGGGTGGTTATTTCTTAATTGGTTCTGTCATGATTTCTGCTCTTTATTTTATTCCAGCTTCCAATGGAAAAGGTCCTCAGGGTAAAAGGTCAAAAGCAAAGGCAAAGGTGATACCTTGTAATCCCGAACTCTTGTTTGGCATCCTTTTTTGTTTTCAGTTTTCTGTTTTTTGAAAAAAAAAACCAAAAACGGAAACAAGAAAAAGGTGTTCCCACTTTTCTGTTGTCAGTTTTCAAAATTATTATGATTTTAATAAGTTTGGGTAATTTTTGGTTCATTATATAACATATATCATATGATTTTGAAAAACAAAAAACCAAAAAATAGAAAACCACAGCGATGCCAAAAGAACCCTAGTTTCGAGTTTTATTTTTATTAGATGATAATCCAATTTATTCGTTCATCTCACAAATACGTAATTTTTTTTTCTCAGAAGAGAGCTTTTATGGAGGAGCGTGTGAGAAAAGGTGTAAGTGCACAGGAAGAAAGTAGCATACAGCCATCAGTATCAGATTCAAAATCCGATGAGATGGGGACCTCCACAACAGTTGAAAATAACGGACTGACCCAAGGAAACTCAACCGCCCAAATTAAAATTAAGATGGAAGACAATATTGAGAATGATTCTCATGTAAATGCTGCTATATCTGATACATCATCAAATGAAGTGAGCAAACATAATGATGGGCAGGGCAAGGCTGCTACCAGTGATGAAGTAGTCACTTCATCTTTGAATGTTGAGATTGGTAGTGACAATATTCCTTCTACAGCATCTGCTGCTGCAAGCACTGAGGCAAGCCTTAACAACAATCATTCAATTGGTTCTGGACAAAATATTGGTTTGAAAGATGCAGATGACTCTGTGAAAAAGCCTGGGGAAGAGAAGTTCCAATCCACAGTTGATGTTACACCCATCCCAGTGAATGCTGATACGAAAAAGGTAAACACTGTTGATGTCACACCTGAACCTGTTTCCAATCCCTTTAAACAGGAGGATGAAAAGGCAAGGACATCTTCGAACAAAGTACAAGAGCAACTTGAAGAGGTAAAATGTATTCAGATTGTTATCCTACCGATTACTCTGTAATGCATTGTGTGGAGGAATTCGTTTACCGAGCTCTTATCCCTGTCTGATATCCAGGCTCAAGGTCTGCTCAAATCAACGAATACTACTGGTCAATCAAAAGAGGCCAGGTTAGCTCGGGTATAGTCAAACACTCATCAGAACTTATGAACCTTATTGTTTGGTAATATTTCTCTTGTTCGTTGCTGTACAATGTGGTTGGTACAGTCGTTTTAGTGTTCTTAGTTCTGTATATTTGTGCAAATTGCGAAATCATCATTCTTTTAATACACATTGAGGAATGTGACAGTGTTCAATATTACAATGTGTGTTTGACTAATAAGTTTGTGCATGATGTAGTCAACTCATCAGAGAGGTAGTAGCTCATGTCTTGTCCTTTTTATACTTGTTATCTTCATGATGCCTCAAAGCTCTTTATGAAATTTGGCTATATCATTTTGTAAATATCATCTTTTATGTTGATGCAATTATGAGCTTGAAGCTTGGGGGTTACTCTAAGGCCTTATTATTTTCCCTTTTAAAAAACGTGTTTCAGGAAAGCTATGCTCAAATAAGGGTCAATAAGTTCGGGACCTGTGAAACCATTCATACATATGTTATTTCCTGATATTATTATATTGTATTCACCTGCAAGATGGAATTTGCTGAAGTGAGTTAATACCCTTATCTCTTACACACCCAAAAAGTTTATGGGAATATTTTGAAACAGAACTTAAATAGCTTTCCAGTTCATGTGTACACTGTCAGACGGCTGGCATATGCACTCATTGCATGCACGTATTGCTAATGTTTGTGCTTAGATGCCCATGCTGGCATAATATGCCAAGTCTGTTCCACATAATGATACTTGGAAAGTGACACCTTGACAACACCAACAACACTTAGGATGTAGGGATCTTGCTAATGCATAGCACCCTGTCTCCATGGTTGGAATTTTTGAAACGGGCCATTTTGATCCTTGATGACTTCTGGGTCTAAAGGATATTTAGGGGGTGCTGGAAGTATGCCTCATTCATGTGAGGCATTCTAGGACCAACTTGGGCAATGCTGTAGTAGGGTAGACTTGTGTCTTGTGGTCATCTTGGGTTGCAAATAGCTTCCGTGACCAAGATATGTATTGGTGAGATTATACCAACATGCCTAGGCCAAAGGCTATAAGTCATGACTTACAACTTTCCAAGGTGGAAAACTCAGAGTGGGGCACACATGGGTTTCTTGTGGTGACCTTACTTTTCAATGACCTAGGAGGGCTTCACATGTGAAATTACAAATATCTCAAGTCCGTGAAGCACCCTGGGTCCTGGACCTAGGGTAAATAGAATCACAAAACACTGGACAAGGTGCTTCCCAGGCCAGCATAGGTTCTAATTAGAATGGCCTTCAGGAACCTAAATCTGGCCAGAGCTTGTAACTTGGGGCCATGGTGCACCCCAAACCAAGGACATAAAATCGCAAAGCATTGTAGTTGAGGTGTCCTCAAGGTCTGCCGTGTTGCAATGGTCTTAGCTCGGGAAGTGAGCTCTGGTAAATTGTGAAAACATCTAATGAACCCTGTGTGGGAATTGATCTGTGAAACTGAGAGGCTGTAAATTTTTTTGTAACAATTTAACTTTTTTCTTTTTATTTTTCCAAATAAAGTTCTTATCTTTCCAAATAAAGTAAATTTTATCATCGAGCTAAAAGTACAGATTGCAGCAGCTACAACTCCTCAAATCACTTACAAGTTAAAAAAAAGTTAGCATGAAAGCACCCCCTACCTTCTAGGTCCGAGGTTAATCACTCATCATTTGCAACACTATCATGTTCTCTTTTGCGCTACATGTTAAACAAAAACAAATTTTATTTTATACACAATTATGCGAAGTACTACTCTTGCATTTCTGATAAGAAATCAGATAATTTCTCCGCAGTTAGGTCAAATATAGGGTAATAAGAAACGCCATATAGTAATCTTTCTATGGTGATGTCTCCTGCTATCCTTAATAATATGATCAAGTTCAGCTTTCAAAGTAAGCCCTTCTCTTTGATAAGCAATTTTTGAAACACTTTACTCCATATACTACTTGAGAAAGCATCTAAAAATAAAATGCTGAGCAGTCCCAAACACTATGACATAATACAAAAGTAGCCTGATTCTGAAGGTTGTATGTGCTTGAATTGACAAGTGCCAATGAGCTACAGTGCTAAAATCATGTCTGTTTTGTTCATAACATTCTTATATTACTTTTAGGTTTTAACGTATTATGTTATTTTGTGTACCACTTGAAAGTTGTCAATACAATGTTCACCTACTTATATTGGAAACACTATGGGGGTATTCGTGGTTTTCTATGTTATCGGAAACGAAGGATGTAGGTATTAAATTACTTAACAACTTACAGGTTGGGAAAGGATTCCTGCCAATTTCTCACCTTCCTTGCCTTGTTGGTGGCTACGTAGTTCATGTGACTTATGCAGCTGCATGAAATTTCTTCTCTGGCTTATCTTTATGGTTCAAAAATCCTACATCCACACTTCATTTAAACTTTGGTTATATTTCTCTTCAGGTTTGTGCTGGACTTTCATCCCGTCTTCAGGAATACAAGTCTGAAAATGCTCAGTTAGAGGAGCTTCTAACATCTGAAGTAAACCCTCTCTCTTGCCTCCTAGATTTAGGTTTGTTTGGCTTCAACTTAATCTTATATATGAATTCATTTTGTAATGTATGCTTTTATGTTCCATGGCAGAGGGAGCTCAGTAAATCATCTGAGAGTCGCATAAAACAACTGCAACAGGAGTTATCTGCTGCCAAAACAGAAATAAACAGAGTTGAGTCAAACATGGCTGAAGCGTTAGCTGCAAAAAATTCTGAAATTGAGACACTTGTCAGTTCTGTTGAGGCTCTGAAGAAGCAGGCTGCTTTGTCTGAAGGGAATTTGGCATCTTTGCAGGTCTGATGTTTTCTAAGAATCTTGGGGGGAGGGTATCCCTCTTTTACTTTCTTCATCAGAATATTACCAAGTGATTGTTTAGTTGATATCAAATTACACAGGAAGTACAAATTCCTAGAAGTTGGAAAACTGGGGAATTATTTGGTTTTCAAAGACAGTTGCACACCATGGAAATTCTACTTTCCAAAAAAATGGGGGAATTTACTTATGAATTTACCCCCCCCCCCCTTTTCCCTCCCCAACTAATAGACCCTCCTCCTGGTAGTCAACCATACAGTTTTCTTCATTTCCCGTGGGAAATGCAAAGTCTTGAGAAGCGTATCTCTTGTAAACAACCAAACCATCACTAAGTAGCTTTTACATGTGTCCATTTTAGTATGCAAAAAAACTGCCCCTGCATATTTGATTTTGTAAAGCTGTCCAATAAACATCATCTTTGCTGGGAAGCAAGTCTTTCTGGTTTAGATTATTCTTCAGATTTTCCTGACTCAAGGCGCCACTTCTTATCAGGCAAATATGGAAACTTTAATGAGAAACAGGGAGCTTACAGAAACACGGATGATGCAAGTAAGTTTGCTGGCAAATTGATATTTATAACGAATCCCTTTCTGATAGCATGAAGTCAAGATATGTATGTTATCACATATAAGAAAGGATCTGTCATTTCCATGTACTCCTCTTTAACAGAAAACTCCATGCAAATGAATCAGGCCCTAAAGGAGGAGCTTGCCTTGGCTGAAAGACGGGCAGAAGAAGAGCGTGCAGCTCATAATGCCACCAAAAAGGTCTGTTCATTGCTCATGTAGGTTATGTATTTTCCTATATCCTTCATCACTCCCTTGGGTTGTTTCTGTTAGCATAATGCTATTCATGTGGATTAACAGGCTGCAATGGAGAGGGAAGTAGAGTTGGAACACCGAGCTGTTGACGCATCTACTGGCCTTGCTAGACTGCAGGTATGGTGAGAACTATGATGCCTTATTCATGAGCAATTGAAATTTGATAATCTAAAGAACTTTTGTAGTGATAGTTTAATGTATAAACTTATTTTAGGCAAAACCTTGTTACACTTAAGCATTTAATGTCTTATGCCACTAGGTAATTTTGATATTAGTCAGAAACAGACAGTGCGTGTTGACTCTATTTTACTAAGATTTAGGCTTTTGTATTAAACATCCCATATTCTCATGCTTCATGGCATCATGGCTCCGGAGTAGCGTTGTGGCAAGCTCCTGTCGAGATATCTTGTGCTGAAACAATTAGAACAAGCAAATTGTTACTCAAAGTGCGTTTTTGTCTTGGACTTCATGGATCATGTCCAAAAATAAGCTGAATTTCCAAAATCATTTTTATGGTTTAGGAGATTAGCATATTCAAATTCACGGTTTGCATGGTTCTTAAAAAACGATTTATTATTTTAAGACTTGAAATTGTATAAATTGCGTTGAAATTTTATTGAGGTACGATGTCTAATTTCATAAGCTTCATCAATCTTGACTTTGAGTACTGTCATTTACATCAAGCACTGAAGCCAAAAACACGTCTGTTTTGTAAATTTATTTCAAGAGAACTCTTCACAATGTTCAATACTTTTTGGAAGATGTAAAATTCTAGACTTTCAGTTGAAGCAGTAATTCAATTGTTATTATATCTATGCACAGAGATATTCCTTCCTTTCTGTTTTTGGCTTTTTTCCATATTTTTATTTCCTTATTGTTGGTCATGAATCAAAAAATTGATCAGAAAAGTTAGTTTCATATCCATTTTTCTAAAAGATCTATATTTCGAAACCTGTACTCAGATTTTTTTTCTAAAATTATTGGTTTTGTTTCACCTTTTCCAAGCTTTTAAAAATATGTGTATTCATCTTCCTGTTTCCAAGTCGTTCAACATAGCTGGAGTAAAACATTTGTTTGAAATTTAGATTTATAATGACTTGAGAAAATTACCAAAGAGAAGTATCTAGCTTTCTTTGATATTAATTGGGATTAGCCAATTCATACATGTTTCTTATTTAGCAGCCACAATTCATTTATGAGTTTGGCACATAGTCCTAAACATATAGCTGCAAAATTCAGACTTGGAACACCTGCTTGTTGCTCATATGATTCTAATTCATGCTTCTAAATGCTGTATGCCTTAGAGAATGGCCGATGAGAGGACAGCAAAAGCAGGTGAGCTTGAACAAAAGGTGGCATTACTTGAGGTATGGCTAGATTTATCCATGGAAGAATTTATATCACCCTTTTAACAAAGAGATTTTAGTTACGTCTGTTTTCTTCTCTGACAGGCTGAATGTGCATCTTTGAATCAAGAATTGCAAGACATGGAGAGTCGTTTACGCCGTGAGCAAAAGAAGTCTCCTGAGGATCCAAGTCAATTGATTCAGGTTTGGAATTAAAAAAAACCAAAGGGAAATCCACACTATTTACCATGTTGTTTCATAAAGGCCTTAATACGTTAATGTTTCTGATTATCTAAAAAAAAAACCTTAATTTTGGCTATCGATGAAGAGGCTATTGTTGAAACACTGTGGAAGGTGAATTTCCGGAGTTTTTAGATAGTTCAAGTAGTAGCTTCCCAGGTTCCCCTTTCCTCCCCGCTCCCCAACCCCCAAACTGTTATAGTTCCATTTCTGAATTTGGCAGGGATACAAGTGTCAGGAACTTTGGATAATTATATTGCGAAATTCTTGTTGCTATAGATTCTAGTAAAAATCTGTAATTTGGAATAGTTTTAGTTATGCTGTTATGATCTGGTTGTGATCAGCCATACACCGTGTAGGTGAGAGTAGAGACTGCTCTTTAAAGATTTACTAATTACTTGGAAAGAACTTTCTATGATTCCCGGTTAACCACTCTTTTTTTTTTTTTTTTTTTTTTTTTTTTTTTTTTTTTTTTTCCGTCTCTCTGTCCCTTTTGTCTGTCTTGATCTAGCTCTTCTTTGTTGGTATTATCCTAACAAATGCTTGATTTTTTTTTAAAAAAAAAATGTTTTTTTTTTAGAAATGTTTTGTTTTTTTTTGCCTCATGTACTTAGGTGTCCTTTTATGTATGAAAAGAAATTACTATTAAAGTCGTTTGACAAATGTGTTTTTAGTGATGCTTACCATGAATATGGATCAGATGTTCAAATTAATTGTAAACTTCTCAGTTGTTTATCTTGTGCATACAGTAATACTTTCTTCTATAATGAATTATGATAATATATGCTAGCATAGAATGCCAATGCTCTATAATCATTTGGATCCATTGATTTTCAACGGCTTTATTGATTTATTACCTTTCCTGCATATTGATTTACTGAGTTTAAAATGAAGATACAGACATGGCAACAGGAAGTGGAACGTGCACGTCAGGGTCAAAGAGATGCTGAAATCAAGCTTTCTTCTCTTGATGTGAGTTAAAACTCTAACCGAGTATTACATGTTGCACTTATCTAGTCTTGTGTTAACAGTCTTCGCTTTTTGAATGATTCTTATCTGAGTGTCTTTTAATATGTTGAAAGTTTTACCTGAATCTCAATCTCAATCTCATTTGTCTAAGGCTGAGTTGCAAAAGATGAGAGTTGAAATGGCTGCCATGAAGAGAGATGCTGAGCATTATTCGCGTCAGGTCAGCTAATTCTGACTTTTGCTGATGCTTGATTTGGATCAGAAGCTTTGAGATGCTAAATGCCTTGAGGCGCATAATATTAAGTAGGCAATTAATACTTTGTATGATATCACTATTGTAGTTCTTACACTCATGCGTTGATCTCCTTGTATATGTAATGAACCCCCTAATCCTCTATCCAAAATAATTCAACTTCAACATTACATTGTATATCTTGATCAATCAGTCATCTCTCATAGAATTAGCTTAGCATATTCTTTTGGGCTCTAATCCATTGGATTACAAGCTTCTCAAGATATTATTCACACCAGTAATTCATAGCTGATAGGGTATAATATTAACATGACCCATTTTTTCAAAAGAGTCACCCGTTACAGTGTATATGTGTGAAACTATTCCAGCATACTCCAATGGAAACAGAGGTTTTTTCTTGTTGATCCTTGATCTTAACACAACAACCTTTTGCTACTACACTATAAGAAAAAAGTGTGCATAGTTTATTGAGTCAAAATTTGGTTTAGTCCATTTCTTTATTTGTCAGAGTGGTAAAATTTTCAGCTTAATAAGAAATGGACAAACTTCATAGCTAACAAATCTGAGACATGACCTTGATTTATAGTTTTCCTGCTGCAATTTTGGTACTTAACTTGACAGGAACACTGAAATATGTATGTAACCACCTTCAGAACCTTAGTTATTAGTGACGTGTTAAACTCAATGTTCATCATGAGTAAAGAAGAATACTCTTCCCTCTCTGAAGTAGATCATTCTACACGAATTGAGTCTCAACATGTTTTCATCAATAATCTGAGTACTAGCTAATTAAACGCTCGAGTCAAAGATTAGATCAAATTTATTGGGTGCCTGTTCAAATTGTCTGTATTATGGTTTGCAACAACAGCTCTCATATTCTTATGTTGAAAATATTGTAACATGCTGCAACGACCAAAATATTCTTTACATTTGACCACCTAATCTTGTTATGAGAACTATGACATTATTGATGACTCTGTTGGTAGCTGAAAGTAAAGGATTGTCAGTCATAACTCATAACCGCATAAGCAACAAAGTTAATACCATTTTCTTATTACCAACGCTGACTTTTAGCTCATTTTCTGTTTTGATTTTTCTTTGTTGGACATCATGAACTTTAATTTGTGTATGATGATTTCAGGAGCACATGGAACTTGAAAAGCGATACCGTGAATTAACCGATTTATTGGTATCTAATATTAACATCTTGTGCACATTCTGACTTTTGCAATCAGGGTAGATAAAACTGACATGCTTGTTAAACCACCTTGTGTCAGTACTATAAGCAAACACAGCTTGAAACAATGGCAAGTGAAAAAGCTGCTGCAGAGTTTCAGTTAGAGAAGGAGATCAAACGTCTTCAGGAAGTACAGGTCTGTTCTTACACTTCTATTTGTTTCTCACAGCTAGCAGCCTTTACTTGTTATCTAGATTTCTCATTTGTTTATCTGACTTCCTGGTTTTACATCTGACAACGCTTCTTTTTCTGTAGGCTGAAGCAGAGAGAAACAAGATTTCTCGTCGGGCATTGACAACTTGGGATGAAGAAACAGACATGAGAGAACTCGAGTATGTCCTCTCTAGTTTTACCTGTATCCACTATTTTCTGTCTTAATAAACAGGCTATCTTGTGTTGAGATATAGTCAGTTGCCCTCTTCTCAGCCTAGAAAAGTTAGATCTAGAAAATGAATTAGCCAGTGTATTACTTAGGATAAACCAGTGTTTCCTTGCTTGGATCAGATGATATTGAGCATGATAAGCACATTGTGTTTTGTATCTTTCTGTTAGAAAACTATTATTAATATGTGGTGTATCCTTATTATTGCCATAATAAGAACTTTATTTCTACCATAACTATTACTTTGTATTTTAAAAAAAACAATGTTTTCTAATAATGGACTTAGGGGAAGGGACTTCAAACACATCTCGTGATTTTTATTATTCAATCACATAGATGCCTGGATTGCTCTGTAATTTTGATGCTTTAGGAGATACTGTTATCCCATTTGGCTTGCTGATCTTGGAAATGCTGACGCGGTGGTGTCTAAATCATCATAAGAACTACTGAGCTAATACATCTTAGATTTATCATAGGAAAGTTGAAAAGCCAGAGGCATAGTACTTATTTGTGTACGAGTTTATTTTCCATAATAAAGCATTACCCTTTGCACAAATGAGGATTTTTCTTACAAAGCTGAATTTTCAGGCCTCTCCCACTACATCAACGTCACTTGGTTGGGGCTAGCATGCAGGTATTTTGTTTTTGTATTATAGTGCTCTTCTTTTGTGTCAATATTTTTGTTATATTCTTGAACAGTCCCTTGTTTCTTTCCCATAAACCCCCCCATGAATCTTCACATTGCAGTTGCGAAAGGCAGCAAAACTTTTAGATTCTGGTGCCGTCAGTGCTACAAGGATTCTATGGCAGCACCCTAGAGCTCGAGTTGGTCTGCTATGTTATCTAGTAAGACTGGCTAAATCTCCCACCTCCATTTATGATGTTGCATTTTTCTAACTTGAGGCCAATTTACTTTTTTCAGGTTTTTGTACATATGTTCTTGATGTACCTGTTGCATCGCCTTCAGGTATGGCCAAATACAAGTAGCAACTACTAAATAATTGATATCTATGTTTTTACTTTATTTCATACCTCTCCATTTGTTTCCTTTTCATCTTTAAAAAAAATGCTGACATGTAGCAAAGTTATTAATATCGGGATTCTACTTTGAATCGGAAGGGACTCTTGGAATCGAATCGTAAAATCGAGTAGTAGAATCGTAAGATTCTATAGACATGCATAATCAAGGTGTCATATCCAAATTTAATTAAAAAATTTTAAATTATGAGTTTGAAATCTAATTATTAATAGAAAATAGTTGTTTACCCATTAAGCAACCAATAATTGACACTATATATTTATAAATAACTTTGTAGGCATGTTTTAAACTTGGGATTTCGCTAGTTAAGAGAAATATGTAAAATCGGGTAGAATAGTAAATTGAATTGTATGACATACATGAATCGTTAAGTCGTAATATTCTAAGGATATTAATCGGAATTTTAATAACAATGCATGTAAGCCTAGAAAGGTGGTGTTGGGTGGGTGGGGGGGGGGTATCTAGATGAACTGATGAACTATGTTGCTCGGAAACGGATACGGACACGGACACGGGTACGGCGTATAACAAGACATATAATATATCCAAAAAACGAGAATCTGACAACCTGTTCAATAAAACACTAAAAATTTAGCCTCAAAACACACAAATTTATTTAAACAAAGTAAAACACACATTTTCAGCAAATCAAACCTTTCCAGTTCAGCTCAAACAACACAATCAAATTACACAGTGCACATGTACAATGCTAGAAGACATTCTTGCAAATTGTTGTTCTTCAATCCAAATCCCAAACATCTCATATCAAATCAAATTAAACAAGTAGCAACATAAACTGAGTTATACTAATTAAAATTTTCAAGCAAAATCGTGATACAAACTGATTTATACAAACTGATTGAGTAGTTACTTTTTTTTTTTTTGAATAGCCAATTTAAGCAAAATCGTGAAGGAATGAAATCAAATTAAAAGTTTAAAACGAGAATGAGAGATTGAGAGGATTACCTGAGAAGGCTGAAAGCACCGGCGGCCGACGAGCGAGAGTGGACGCCTGGACGGTGGCGACGAGCGACGAGTGACGGCGAGTCGGCGAAGGAATAGAGTATTAAAGGGTGTTTCGTGATGACTGAGGAATAGAGACTTGCGACGAGCGACGGTGGGCGGTGGCCGACAGTGACGACGGTCAGGCGATGTTCAGTCGGCGGCGATTTGGGTTGAGCCGTTGAAGTGTGTTTGAGAGTGACGAGAGATAGAGAAGATTGAAAGGAAAGCAGTAGGGTTTGAGACAATGAAACTTTGAGGGAGTTGGGCTGGAATAGAAATGGCGTGTCCAAGTTAAAACGGGCCGTGTCAAAGGGAGATACGGTCCGTGTCCATGGAGTATTTTTTTTTAAAAAAATTGGGACACGGATTTTGGAGTGTCGGACACGTATCGTAGCGTGTCCCACCCATGTCGGTGTCGGACACGCGTGTCGATTCGGACACGGCTGCTGGGTGGCGTGTCCGTGCTTCACAGCTGATGAAGGCTTCATGTTCTGTTTTATCTGATACCTTAGAGGCTGGGGTCAGGACTCAGGAAAGTGCTACTTTCCATGATGAATCTACGCTAGTTTTTAGCATATAATATAGTTAGCTTTTCTTTTCTTTTCTTTAATTTTTTTTTATTCATAACCTTGAAGAGTTGAAGTTATCTCAAACTTCATTTGCCTCCCGTTTTTGAGTAATGATTCATGATTCTCATATTTCTGTTTTACTTTTATCTGACCAACTAATATTAGGGGTTAGGACATTAATATTGCCCGTGCAGGCTAGTTTCTGCATGAGAAATGGATTATTACTGCTATTATATACCATGGAATCATGAGAGTTGCCTCAAACTTCATCTTGCTCTAATGTTGTGTATTGTCAAGATCTATATCTCTCCTGAAGGGAACTTTTGGATTATTAGAGATTTGGCACAAACCTATTCAGCAGGGGGAATTGTAAATTTGTAATCACTTCTTTAGAATTCTGATAGGGCTAATAAAATAGATATCTTGCTAACTTTTTACTATGCTTAGGCTCAAGCTGATGATTTTGCCGCTCAAGATGTTGCTCGGTCGATGGGACTTTCTCAACCCAATTTACCATGACCAAAATATGCTTTCAAGTGCAGAAAGCTCTTATACCTATGCAGCTCCACCACATGTGGAAAAATACTGATTACTTTTCAGAAGCTAGTGTTTTGTTTGGCATTTATTCAGAAACCTTGGAGAGTGATGGAAGTTGCGCACTATTATTCGCATTCCTCATTGTATGTATTGACGCACCTCTACCAACTAACAGCAACTCTTATAAAGTTATGGTAACTTCTCCAGATACTACAATGACAGAGTGCAAAGTTCAGTTGTGGATTGCATACGTTTGTCTGTTTAAAGCTGTAAGCCTGATGTGCTTTCTTGGAGATACAAGGCGATGAAGATTGCATATATGTAGTCATAAAACACAAAATTATACGAAGTATTTCTTAAAATCAACACTGATAGAATTGCATTTGTTTTAGATCGGTGTTTCTTCTATCTGATAATACATATGTAAAGGTGGCCAAACAATTTTCTGAACTTGTGTAAATTCTTCAGATTGATGAATTGGCCAATACTTTCCTGTTTTTTTTTTTTAAGAAATTGGAGGTGTTTTTAACTTGGCTTTAGTTTGAATTTGTGCAGCAATAGCCATGATATCTAATTTCAATGAATTATAAAATCATTGAGATTATATTTTCTGTACAGTATGAATTTATGATAGGTCTATTTCTCTACCATAATCTCTGCTTCCTCTTTCTCTTGAAAGTCTTGATGCTGTGGAGTGGCCATAAATGGCAAGGTGAGTGTTTTTCAGTACACCACAAATGGTGATCGCGCCTTTATTTAACAGTAGCAGGGTGTCGGCTAAGGTGGTTTAGCATATTCTCAAGTGTACTTGATAAATAAGGAAAATCAAATTGCGGCTCCATTTGTTTAAACGAAAAACCACTTTTTGAGAAAATGATTCTCCATGAAAAATAATTTACAAAAGAAAACAAAATAATAAAAATAGTTTTCCTTTATTTCCTTTTACTATTTTTGGGAAAATCATTTTTTGGAAAAATGATTTTCCCCTTCCTTTTACTATAGGAAGGGGAAAATAGGAGTGGAAGTGAGAAGATGGAGGAGAAGAGAGGTGAGGGAAGTAAGGAGGAAAATGTATCGTATTGGAGAACATTTTCTACTCTTGAAAGATCTATTTTCCACCTTTGTGAAAATTATTTTCCATCCCTTTACTAGCCAAACAATAAAAAAATGAGGAAATTATGTTTTTTTTTTTTTTTTTTTTTTTTTTTAATCTCTTTTATTACTCTGTATTAATCGAATGCTACGTACAAAGTACTCCGTATCTAATTACTTATGAATGTCGTGGACTCGTGGTACGGTATTGAACCTACTAAAGCTTACCGAAGAAGATTGATCAAACTAGCGGGAAATTAACAAAAAAAGTTGAACGTACTAATTAAAGAATCCTACTGAAGAAGCAAAAGATTATGTGACCAAAACTAGCGGGAAATTAAATTAAACGTTATTTATTCATCAATTATTTTTATTATAATAAATACACTCACTCACTTTCCCTTCTCCATTAACTCTCATTGTGATCAAACATCCTTTTCCTTACAAAATTCTCTCTCCACTTTTTCTTCATTACAAAATTCTCATGATCAATTTCTTTTTCTGTTTGAAATTTGTTTTTTAATTAAAATTTAATTATTACTGCTCAACTTAGAAAACTTGATTTATTCAGCTAGTTCAAATTTACGTCGATGTAGCATGATATTGTTGCTACATATGCTCTTCATTTCATATATTTGTCGGATCCTCGATACTCGGACATGAGTATGGTCTGTGTGGACAATGCAACACTTATTTTGGGACTAAAAAGCCGAGTTTGAGTAACATGGCTTGTTAATAGCGTTTATGTAAACTACTGAGTTACTGACTTTATGAAACACTTGAATTTTTCAGGGAATAAATCAAGGAGAATAAGCGGAAGAGGGAATCAGATTGTCCTGGTATGTGATATCTGAGAATATTAATCAAGAGTTGTGTTACAAGTTACAACCCTCTATTTTCTTGTTTTCAGTTTTTCATTATTTGAAGATATTGATTTTTTCCTTAGGTGATGCAAGTACTGTACGGCGGGTGTGTGTCTTTGACTCGCCAACTAAGGGTGAAGAGGAGCGTAATGTGCGCAAGAGTAGAAGAGAGGTTGTGTTAGACGCGCTTGAGAAACTTGAATTCCGAAAGGCTTTCTTAATTTTGAACTACATTGGGAGGTAATGTTAAAAATTATGGCTCTTGTTGATTTGATTTGATTTACGATTTCAGAAATCAAGGGTGGTTTTTTTGTGCAGATCGAAGCTGGAGGATATTGTTTCTGCTGATCAAATTATGTGTTATCAAAGGCTTTATATGAAGGAATTTGAGGTTGAGATATGGAATGATTTTGCTAGAAGCATTTGCCAGGAAAAGAGCGAGTTCTTAAGGTCATATTATGCTTATGGTTTCACATATAATTTATTGTGTCATGCTCAAATAGGTATAATTGTGATGGAGATAACTGCTAGTAAAATGAACACACAAAAAGTTATGTTTATGGACATTATTATTGGTAGGTCATGAGTTCATGACACCATGGGAAGTAAAGTATGTATACATACCTGCACATAGAATCTTAGCCGAATCGATTTGATCATTTTTGGTGATGCTACATATACAAATTTCATGTGAAACTGTGTTGCTCTAATTATCTGGGGTTGGTACTAGGATGACAATTATGACTAGACACTAGAGTGGATGTCCCACACCTTGGGCAACAATTGTGTTGTTTGATAGGGTAGCTGCTGCAAATTGCCGAACACTTATTTGAATCATTCTAACATAATTTGTTTGAAAATCAAAATCCTAGGATAAATATGAAAACACATAACTTTGATGTCAAGTTGTAAATAGTTGGAGTTTTTCCAGAAAATATCCCATTCGAGCATTTAATTTACATTCACTTCTTATGTAAATTCTTCCATTTACTCTGTATTTGTTTAGTTTGTTTTGTCAAGAGTGCTATTAGGTACAAGACTTTCACAAGCTGAAGGATGTGATATTTACATCACTACAGAATAGTTTTGATTGGCTCTTAATATTTCAAAATATTATTTTTCATAAGATCGCTTATATACAGGTGTAATAAATAGACCGTAAGATTCCTTCTTTTCTCTTAACTTAGTAAGGCTACCAGGCTGTTGCCAGAGTAAGAACTTATATTAGTCCATCAGTTGTTCTATGGATCTTTGTGGTCATTGCTAGGTGTTCATGCTGGCAGGTTTTCACTTATACTATCGAAAACCATAACCTTGGAGCTAAATTTTGATAATTTGTGTGTAGAAGTCTTTTGTCGGGTAAAGCATCAGTTTTCTTCATGTATTTGTTGCTGGTCATTTTGTGGTCCTTTTGTTGATGTGTTTTATATTTTTGATTGGATGGAAATGGTGAAATTATCTATGGTACAGATAATAAAGTCTTGATGTTTACAGATGGAACCGGTTTCATCTCTGAAGATCTTGTCCTCATAACTCGATCTTTACATGTCCATACTCGAGAAATATATGTTTCACGAGTTTTGGTGTGTATCCTATTTCATTTTGCGTGATTATCAATTTATTTCAAAGTATTAACTCACACAACATGACGAATCAAGCAATAACGATAATCATTAAAGTAATCAAATAATTCCAATTAAATGCTTCTAGCACCCCACCACATTGATTGCTTGAATTCACCTATCCTTCCTTTATCAAACCACTTGTCTGTGTATCTTGCATCAAACACTTTGCTTACCTGGAGTTGCGGGTTTGAATGCATACGCCAAAAATACTAATCCGACTAGTTTAATTAAATGTGTCACAATTATATTCTTCACACTAATCCCCATTTTACATGTTCGATTCATCTTGTGTTAACTTTTGCATTGTCATCTAACTTCCTCCATGTTTCAAAATTCTTATCCTAAATTCTACGCTCCTGCTTCATATTCTTTCATTTACTATAAGAACTACGGAGTACTATAGATCATGTGCATGTATGGATAATATAATAAATTAAAAATAATAATTTAGAAACTAATGTAATTAATCTTAATTTATTAAAGTCAATTGCCACATAAATATATCTCTCACTTTTTCTTAAACTTTGGATTTCTAGGTGAAGTTTGGGGTTTGGATTTGAATGTTGCGAAATAGACCGAATCTTAAATGGTTTGGATACGGTTTGAGAAATTCAAAATTAAATTTATTCGGATCGGATTCGATTTTGACTGTAATTCAAACTGCAAACCGAACTTTCACTCTTACCTAACATTCAACTTGCAAACATATTCCAGTCAAAATAATCTTAGCTTCCATCAACTTTGAGAATGAAATTGGGGTGAAAGTTATAATTATAAGGGTAATAATACATTTATGTAAATCCAGCCTTTAAAGTTATTTTGTACTCCGTACTACAAACTAAAGAAATCTTATTGAAGAAGCTAAAGATTTATACTACGGAGTACACGCAAAAGATATAGTCAGATGTTCTAAGGAATACACCCACAACAACATGCGCGGGAATTTATTTTTTTTTTTTAATTTTTTTATTGGTTAGTGTGACGTTAATAAATACATTAATACACTCACTCACTCACTTTTACTCGTATCATACTATCATTCACTCAGGACACTTCAGACCTGGCAATCCTGATCCGACCCGAATAACTCAACTCATGACCCGAAATAAACCCAAAAACAGTGACCCGAATCAACCCGACCCGACTCGTATCTGACCCGAAGTGAAATTGACCCGACCTTGACACGAAACTCGAAATGACCCGACCTGGAGTTGACCCGAGACGACCTGACCCAAAGTTGACCCGAGACCCGAAGTTGACCCGACCTTTAACTTGAATTAATTGATCCAAATAAACAGGAAACCCAGAGTGACCCGAACTAAGATTACCTTATACCTGAAATGACCAGAATCTATTTAAGCTAATGATTTGACCTGAGCAAACCAAAATAAAAAATAGGAAACTAGTTGATATCTCTGCGTTGCATCCTTACACAACAACAACCATATAAAATACTTGGAGTCGAGCAAGGAAGGTTGGGAAGAGATTCAACTTTAGGCCTTGGCAATATATCATGTTTGCTATGACTATGCTATGATGAATGACGACCCAACAAAGTGTGGCGTTGCCTGGAAAGTTGCGGGAGATGCCTTGTTGAAGATATATCTGAGGACTGCGGGTGAAAGACCTATATTGTTTGCGCCATAAGATGCGATTGTTATACACTTAATAGTGCATGTATTACAATGCAAGTCTTAAGTAGTACTAATATGTTTAGATTTCTGCAGACTGTTAGGTCTTATATATGAGCATGATCTCCTACTTTCTTCATTTAGCTCGTGCTCAGCATAGTCTTAAGCTCTTAACTAGTTTCGGTTGCTATAACTTGTAATAATCTACTAAACTTTGGTAATCTATGTTTGTTGTAGTCAGCCTTTTGTTTTCTCCAACCAGTATTTTGTTGTTGGGCATGTTCCTGGTTGGGGTTATTAGTAAAATTTCTTACTTCGGCTTGTATTAAGTGTTAGTTTTCATTTAAGCAGTGTAGTTTCGTCTTCTTAATTGTTATGCTAAAAAAATGAATTATAATGTGTTGGCGGTATATGTCATAGAGTCCTACCTTGTATACAACACATTAACTGTCATCTATTGACTATTGTGCTTATGTTTATCAATTAATGAGGTTTGTCTGCACATTTATTAATGGATCGGAAGAATTAGGCTGATCTTAGAAACTCCAACTTAACAACTCTCCTATGTTTGGAACAGAAAAGGGAATGTGCTAAATTTGAATAATAAGTGATGAAATATTTTTATTTTTTTTTAATTTTTTTTTTATAATTACTTGGACATTATACTCCTATTTCGACTTGAAAATAGCGGGTAAGGGTTTTGTTTTTTGACTTGAATTATTAAATGGGCTAATACAAACTTTGAAATTATATGAGATAGATTTAGGTTGAAAATAAGACCTATTTAAGCTGAATAGAATTATTATGTCAAAATTAGGTAGAATTGACATGAATTCAACCTGAAATTATCATCATATACGTAGTATAAAATATTGTTTTGTTACAACAATAAAATGTAATTTGAATAAATGTAACGAGAACATGAAATGACAAAATTGTACAAAAACTTAAATTTTAAGATTGATCAGAACTTGAACAAATCAAGTTAGAGTTGAGCATTTTTATCCAAAAAGTCAAACTGTTTAAGTTGGGGATTTTCAACTCAAAAAATTAAATTGAATATGAACTTGATCCGATCTAATCTAATCTTATCCAACAGTAATTCTTATGCACTATTATCTACTCCGTATTCTTTATGTTTTGAAACATTTTTACTTTTGTCATTCATCTTTATCCTTGTTACAATTCAAAGATTTTTAGATTATTTATATTTTTTTTACCCAATTCCCTCAACTGACCCATTTATAGCTATCAATTCAATTTGGGTAAAAGCTTATCAAAGAAGTTTTGACATCCTAAAAAAAATATAAATAAAATAAAATAAATGCAAAGAAGTTTTCTCAAAGAAGCATAAGATTATGCACGGTGCATTGCGTGCAAGATATTTCAGTAGCAGTAAAAACTGAAAAGTTACTTTTACAGCCAAACAACTTTAACAATATTTAGGCCTACTAACTCTACAACACGTGTTTTCAATTTAGCGGGAATTTAACTTAATTTAAAAAAAAAAAAAAAAAATCAGTATAAATGAAATGAAATTCGTCACTTCATCTTCTTCCTCGGTTTAAACTGATGATCTTAATTTTCTCTCTTCTGTACTTGTCTCTTTTTTTTGAAAAACTCCTGTACTCATCTCTAATTTGTCGTCAACAATGGCGGCAGTACCAGTAGAACTTCCGCCATTGTCGGAGGCGGTGGAATTGCAGTTTGAAGCAATCTGCCGTGAGAAAAAGCAGCCACCGCCCGACGCCGTGGCGAGACGACATTTATCGGAAATCGGTGAGCAGGAATCATTGAAGATTCTGAAGATTATTCGAAATAAAGTTGAAATTAGGAATTTCAGTCGTTTTATTGTTCATTTGGTTAAGAAGAATTCTCTGCAATCTAATTCTCCTCCTTTGTCTCTCACTAAGTCTCCTCAAGGTTTTTACTCTCTCTCTTTTTAGAACTTTGAATTTATGGGGTATAATTGTGAAAATTTATGGTTTAATTTTTTTGATATTTTTTTTTTCAGTTCAATGCATGTAAATTAATCTTTTTGTGTTGATTTATTTTTAAATTTATTTATAAAAACTTTTTGTTAAAATTTGAATAATTTTTTCTAGTGTTAAATTTACAATTTTGGAGCCAAAATATCTGAATAGCTTTAGGAAATTAGGGTTTACAATATGATACTCGTATTTAGGGCATGAAAATTTCTTTCAAAATCGGCCACGTGTAGTAATGCAATTGTAGAAGAAAGTGTTTGTAAAATTTATGTTAGTAGCTGTACAATTTCTGGTACTGAATCATGAATCTTCTGATAAAGAAGTTGATAGGTTAACTTATACAAGTATCAAGTTTCTCTTGAAGTCTTTATCTTTTGAATTGAATGGAGGTGGATTGAACTTAATGGAGTTGAAATGAAGTGAAATGGACTTAACGGGAGTGAATTAAATGGAATTGAATTAATTTAATAGAGTTGAACTAAACTAATATTCCGAAAAAATAAGTCCAAAAGACCCGGGCCTTAATGCCTTACATGCTTGATTTGCGTGCTATTTATATCAAGTTTTGATCAATCAAACACTTGAATTCTATAGGAAATACATCTTGCGGGAGGAAACGAAAGAGCGAATCGGACTCTCCTGGTATGTGATATTTGAGGTTATTAATCAAGTGTTTTGTTGTTAGCTTGATTTCCATCTATTTTCTTTTATTACTGAGTGAATAATTTGATTATTTCTCTAGGTGATGTAAGTACTGGAAGGCGGGTTTGTAAATTAAGCTCACCAATGAAGATTGAAGAGGAGCCGGTTGTGCCAAAGAGTAAAAGAGATATTGTTTTTGAAGCACTTGAGACACTTGAATTCCGGAAAACTTTCTTACTTTTGAATTATGTTGGGTGGTAATATCTAATCTTATATTCTTATCTATTGTGCTGAATTGAACTACGAGTTAGAATACTGAACAGTGCTTTTTGTATAGGGACAAGCTGGAGGATGTTTCTGTTGATCAAATTCTGAGTTATCGAAGTCTTGGTATGAGAGACTTTGAGATCGATATTTGGAATAAATTTGGCAGACCCTCCGATAAAAAAGAGCGAGTTAATAAGGTCAAATAACACTTCCAATTTTGTATGATTGCTATTTGGTAGTGTTTGAGTAAATATGGGCGGAGCTGTGATGTTTGCTAGTAAATTAAGTTTAAAAGTGATCACTTTGACACTATTGGAAACTAAAGTTTGTATATTTCCCCCATTATTAACCTACATGCATTAAGGATGATTGCATAAAACATTTCATACGAAAAGTTGTTATGCACTCAGCAAATTGCCAAAGCACATAAACATAATACTCTTAAGGAAAACCTCCGATGTCTTTGCTGATTGGCTAACGTTTTTTTATTTGTTTAGTACAAGTCGTGATAAACCTTTGTGCGCAAGTATGACAATTCTCTTTAGTAAAGCAAGAAGATGGTGCAGGTCCATGACTTTGTTCATTATCTTAGGCTCATAACATGCTTTGATATCACTTCACCGTTTTTTATACTTTTTGAATCTTACAGATGAACTGGGAAACTGGAGAAAGATACAACTACCATTGCCATATTGATTCCAGAGGGAACTGTCGCTTCAAGGTTTGTACTTTTGCCTCAAGTTTGTTGTTGGGTGGAGAAATAATTGATGTATGCCTCTACTTCCAAGAGTTGCTTTCATGCATGCCCATTTCTCGCATTGTCAAATTTGTCGAGAAAGTCTTTTTTGTCTATTCCCATCAACTTCATTTCTCGCATTATATTAATGCTATTATAATTGTGTAAACTGTTATCCTTACCAAGTATGAATGATAAGTACTCCGTACTTTAGTAGTACCTAGTACACTAGTACGGATTGACTTTGTTAACCTTAGACTGCTGTGAATTGATAGGAATATTATATCGGACAATATGATTATGGAATGAATATTTGCTTATGATTTTATGATGTAGATTCACTTAAGAAGAGTTATATGATGAGTCATACATTGCTTAGCAAGTTAATCCATTTCAGATATTTTCTTTAAGTGATTGTCTTGCCATTATCTTCTTTTGAAATTTGTGAAGCTGTTGACTCTTCACTTTATGATGCAGGGTCCGTATCTGAACAAGGCAGCTACACTTTTGCAGAAAACTGTTGAAGATGAAAATGTAATAATAATGAAGTTTATGGAGGAAGAAACAGAGAGCCTAGGAGCAGTCTCTATGATGCAGAATCCGATTTTTAATGAGATTTCTGAAAAAGGGTTTTTTGTTGGTAGAAAACGTTATCGGTTCTTTGGTGAGTTCTTATTCTTCTTTTATTTTTGGGTTTCACTATAGAATAGCAGGTTTACGAAGACTGAGAAGTCTTGAAAATAAGCATATGTGACAAAACTAATTAATTTTACTGTATCTAGGTTGTATCTAGCAATTGCTGCATAAGCATTGTCATTAAGAAACAATAATTTTAAACATGTCTGATATTCTCTTTATTCGTCCAATGTTTTAATCTTGTAACTGCCATACCTGTCCGGTACCTCTCGTAGTTGAACCACGTGCAGGTTAGCGGGCTAGATTCTTTGAGAGTGGAAGGGAAGGGTAGGGGATCCCCGCCTTCAAAGTGTCCCTGTGGGGATTGAACCCCCAACCTCATGGGGAAGCCTAGACGGTCCTTCTTTTAGCACTAGGCCAATAGTTTGTTGGTGGTGTATCTGATTGTTTTATGGTTGAGTTTTCCGTGCTAAAAATACTCTCACAAGATGTAGCTTAAAGTATCTTGATTGTTTCAACACTCAGGTTCTGTCTTTTATGGTGAACTTTTGTCATTGAACTATAGGAGGTAAATAACTTGAGAGCTTGATTACGGACAACTCTTATACAAGCTTATATTTTCCATATTTGCATATATTGTCATGTGTCAACAGAGGCTATAAATGCTAAAAGTTAAAAACTTCAAATTTTATCAAATTATTTATATAGTTCAAAAGGTTGAGATAAAGGGAACAAGCTGTAACAATTTTTTTTTTCCATCTTTTTTTTTTGGTCGTTAGTAAGCATAATCAAAGATTACTTAGCCATGTGTGGTAGTGCTTGCTAAATTGTATGGATGTGGGATTCAGAAGAAAATGAATGTTATAGCATTCAATATATTATCAAATTATGATAAGCAATTATTCTTAGTTCATGAACATTTATGGAACTTTGTGAGCTCAACAGTTCAACCTCAATGTTATTATTATTTTTTGTTTGTATAAAATTCAGTTCATAAGATGGTGGCAAGGAGGTAAAGAAGAAAGATTCCGTTTCTAGCTCAGTTAAATGCTACTTTGTTTGTACGGAGGGCTTTGCTCGTGTTCTTAATAAACATCCTCATCAGTTGAGTGATATGCCAATCCAAGAAGCCAGGGCCCTATTCATGCACATACATACTGTATCCAGTCCAACCATTTATAATATCAGATTATCTCTTATATTGTCGAAAGCCATTACCCTGGATATAAATTACAATGATTTGTGCGTTGAAGTCCTTGAAGATATATACTGTCTGGTAAATACCTCTGGTTTCTTTGAAAATCTTATTTTTCCAGTCATTTTGTGGGTTAGCTGTTATGTGTTTAACATTTTGTCTTTGCATCTTGTGTTTGACAGAACGAAGATGGCAGCGTTGCCAAAGATAATGATGGGAAAGTTATGATTCTTACTGACGGTACTGGTTTTATCTCTGAAGATCTTGCATTGAGGTGCCCACATAATTGTACTAATGGGTGTGTGAATAGTGAAGACGACGATCAGGTTTGAGTTTCTGCTCAAGTTCGCTGTTGAGATAGTTTGCTTGTTTCATTTCATCGCTATAACTACCTCTGATGAAGCTTTGACACATGAAAGACTAACCAATTTCCATTTTCTTCTGAACTACATGCCTTGTGGTCATTGGAAACTCGTTTGAATTGTTTGTGAATTTCATCGGTGTTTTGAGGTTTGAGTTGAATTATTGAACTGACCAAGATGTACAGTCTTCATACGACCATCTATATGTGTGGGGACCACAAGGCACCCACAGCCAGGTTAAAGTAATTATATGGCTGCTTTGACCTGATGTAGTGGTGATATATTTACTGAAAAACATGTACAATGTCCGTAATGTTTAGGAAATTTAAGGGAAACAATTGGGTGGCTGTCACTTTTGTATAGGTATGTGTGCTCTCCCCACGTCATCCCTTTGAAATTTATTCACATTGCCCAAGTAGCCAATTGCATTGTCCACAACCATTTGATGATTGTGCCATGTGCTTTTGAAACTTTGCTAACAGTTGTAGGGATCTTGTTCAAATGTTTTTGTATGAATCTTAAAATGAAACTTGGGTACAAGAGCAAATTTTTCAGTAGTTAGGTGTCAGCTGACAATTGTGCTATGTGATTGAGCCAACATTAACATGTAATGCAATTCTATGCTATTTTTTCAATGTGCTTTTGATTTTAGGAAAAGAAAATGTCTTGTTTGCCTGTACTTTTATATGTGAACATGATGCTAAATTGATACTTATGACCTGCAGGGATCTTTAGAAGCTGTTCAATTTCCACACAACTTTTCTGTATTAAACGAGTATAAACCTCCCAATAAACCGGTAATTGTATCTCTTACAGCCATGGAATACGGGACTTTGGCATTTTGTTACCATTGCTACATTCTACCACATGCAATTGATTAATTCTTGTTTCCTAAATCTTCTAGCCTTTGCTGATTCAATTTCGCTTGTTCCATCAAGGCCGGGCTATCAAAGGAACTGTTCTTGTCAACAAAAAGGTGTAGTAATCTGCTCCCATCCTCTTCATTACTGATGCTTCTTAGGTCAGGATAGGATTAAAATTCTATTGTACTGTTTAGGTTTCAATGGTGTCATGTGTGTTATTGGAGCTCTTGTTTATTTTTGTTCTCACTATTTTGAAGGATATCTCTAGATCTCGCTCTTGGATGTCCTGTTCTGATTAAGGCCCTCTTGAACTTGTCTTTCTTGCAGACTTTGGAATTCGGAATTCCCTAACTTTGAGAAATCCTCTCCTTTGCTTCGTCTTGATTGCTATCTGTTCTACTGTGCTTCTGTCCCCCCCCCCCCTGTCTTTCTTCCTGTCTTTGTGGATTTTCCTGGATCTGTACCCTGGCTTTCGGTACTAGATTGGCTTAGTTTTTGCATTTTAGGTTTTTGGGGTCACCAGTTTAACTGGAGGGTGGAGAATAAATATTTAAGAAATGCATCAAACTTGGTTCCTTATGATAGGTTAATACTTCCTTCATTCCCCAAATATTGCAACAACTACCATTTAAGGAAGTTTCAAAAATATTGCAACATTTCTTATTTGCACATGCTTTCTCTCTTTCTCTCTCCTCCTACATGGGTTCCTTTCTTTATTCCTCTCTATCTCTCTCCTCTTCTTAAAATCCATGTCCTCCCCCCATGTTGCAATATTAGAGGAACGGAGGAAGTATTAATGTATTGCAATTTTTTACAAGTGATGGTGAGTGGATTGTGAAGATTGTACTTTGGGGGCTTGCCCAGGTTTATCTTAATGAATTTCGTTTTCAAGTGGTAGATTTGTTGTACTTTAGGGTAAAACACTAACAATATTAGCTTTGGGGTAAAACCGCTAACTAGTAAATAGTGCAAAATTACGCTATTGAATTGCAAGCTTGCAACTTGAATACTTGATAAACAATAAATTTATTGAGGAGATATTTTATTTTCTCATACTTTAGTCTTTGGAACTGACATTTTATACTATTTTGTCCTGGAGCTAAACAACAAGCTGTTCTTTTTGTTATCATTTTTCAGTCTATAATTGTCGTTTCCTCCTTTACTTTTTCCAGCTTCCTCCTAATACAATTCAAGTTCGACGGTCAATGCTGAAAGTTGATAGAGATGATGAAATTCCTATAGATGCTCCAGCTGTAAATTCTTTCGAAGTTGTGGCAACAAGGTAAATTAGTTGTTGATATATCATGATTTCATGAAACAGTTATAGATTTTATATGTAAAACCACAGCCACATTAACTCCCTCAGGCCTCAACTCCTATATATGGTCTTGCGCCAGCCAATCTATTTGGAAGGATCATGAATAACTTCCGTTGCATAATGAATTGTGTCTAGTTGTCAACTTAGAAGATCCTTTGTTATCGGCATCATCAGGTTATGTGGGGTTATCTATGACTTCTTTGATCCTTAATAAGATGCTTTTGCCAACATGCATTGTTAATATAATTTGAGTTGGAATTTAAAGCTTCTGTAGGTTTGTACTTTATTTTGCATTTACCTTTTTTGTCTTGATGGTCCTAATAAAATTGTAAGTCAAGCACAGAAGCAAACATAGTCACAGGTTCTGCGGTTCAACATGATTGTAATTGCTATATTCACCAATGATATTGATTGCTTGCTTAGCTAGTGAAGCTTTCATTTGTAGTTGGATGCGTTGTAATATATGATCTTAATCTCTGCTTTAAAATCTATCATTGTTTTGAACTATGTCTAGCAATAAGCCGAAGGTAGCTGGTCTATCAAAGACTTTGATTGCACTTCTTCACTATGGAGGGGTGCCAAGGGAATATTTTTTGGCTCTGCTCTCAGAGGCTCTTAAAAAACAACTGGCAGTTTTTCATAAACCTAAACCAGCCTTAAGAGGTTACGTTCCTGTTGTTTTTCTTTTTTCAGTGCAGAATCAAAAATTATTTCTCTTTTCCGTTAACAGTTCTTTTATACAGATTGTAGATCAGTATCAGATATTTGTTAATGCTCCAGAATTAGTTTTTGTAAGAATATTCTAATTTGAATAAGTCTACTTGACCAGGAGTTAGCTATCTACTATTATCAAAATGACAAAATTAAAATTCTGTCAAGTAACCTTCGGCTGAGATTGCGTTATCTTGATAAGAGATGAGGCATTTTGTTCTTTTAATTGAGAGCAAGATGACTTATTCTATGGTTAACCAAAGAGTTGTTCTTATCTAATTATTATTGTTCTCTGCTCTGCTGTCTTTCATTTCCAGTTGCCGTTAATTGGGATTTCAGTGGTGATTTTGTACCTGCTAAGATGGTGGCGTCTGGAATTCCTCTAGATGAACCTTTCCTACTAGACTGTTTATCTGATATCGCGAAGGAGGAAATGAAGAGTCTTAAAGGAGGGAAATTCTCTGTTAAAGGCAGTTGCTATGTAATGGGAACAGTTGACCCTACGGGGACTTTGAATAGAGGCGAAGTTTGTGTAATTCTGTACGTCTTTTGTATTCATATTACTCCATAAACATTCCCTTTTTATGCTACTTCTGTGCTATATCTGTAGTCAGCTTATTTCTTTTTGTCACTTAATTTGAATCTTTGTGTTTGACTTGATCCGGGCTCTTTATAAGTTCTGTTGTCTTGGATATTAGAAGCGTAGTTTTGTGATTTGCTTGTAGCTTACAGTACTCATTAATCTGACTTGATACTAGCAACATGGTTGACGTTGTAGTGACTTGCTCACCTCAATCGCAGTCTTGCACATAAATTCAATTTTTAACATATTGTATATCCTTGTGTAGGGTCATAGTTCTATTGTCTGAGTGACCTCATTGAGGTTTGGGTCATTACTTACCTTTTTCTAAAGCAAAAATCAATTTCTTATATAATGTTTCTTTTTGCTCAATGCTTTTTCTCTGCTTATGTAGGGAGGAAGGACAACTTTCTGGTCCAGTATTAGTCTATAGAAATCCAGGCACTCATACAGGGGATATACATGTTGTGACTGCAAGATACATTGAGGGCTTAAAGGACGTTGTGGGAAATGCAAAATATGGAATTTTCTTTCCTTGCAAGGGGCCAAGGTCAATGGCGGATGAAATTGCTGGTGGTGATTATGATGGAGATATGTATTGGGTGTCCACAAATGCTGAGGTTTGCAGTTTTGTCGCTTTCATCTGTTTGTAATACTCGCTATTTGGTATTTCCTCTGTTTCAAAGTAGCTGCTTCTCTTCAAAACATTTGACATTTTAATAAGCCTTACTAATAAATATCAAAGATGTTAAATGGTCATTGTAGTGCATTGGCGAAAACTGATTAGTAAACATGTCACCAGTTTTGAGAAAGTACTTAGAGAGTGATCATTTGTTTTACTTACGTTTGTCTACATCATTTTTGAATCTTAGCCATGCATGCTTCAAGCTTAATTTAGGCTTCTTGTTTGACCCAAACACATGGATTCTATGTGGAGTTTGATGAATGTGGAGGCTATTTCTTCCAATTCATGACATCACAAATTAATTTATCTCTATCTCTGGCTTCATTTAATCTAAAGATTTAAGGGCTTCTTTAAAATAATATAAAATAATAGCTCTATCCCCCCAGGTTTTTTTAACCTGAGATTAATTGTTGTCGAATAATATTATGTTCTGCTATGATACTGACAGTTCTCTTGAGGGTAGTTGGCTCATAATTGATATTAAGGACATTGTTAGAATAAGTATTTATTTGTCTTTGTTTATAATATACGGGTTTACCACCTGAAGATTGGTTAAATTCACGAAGGGCTACAATATCCTTTCTTACTTCTGCATTGCGCTCTTTGGGTTTGAGAATTGTGATAATAAACAGTCTCTTCCAACATTGGCTGGGCATATATCTTTTTTTCCTCTTCTTGTTTGTAATGGTCATACAGGCTATTCATCCACGCCTACTATTTTCATCTTTTCAGCTTTTACAGCATTTCAGACCAAGTGAGCCTTGGATATGTTCAACTTCTTCCCCAATTTTCAAAAAAGTAGCAAGTCTGTCTTCTGGTGAGACATTAGAGCGTGAACTGTTCCGATTATACTTGACTGCTAGGTTCCAGCCAAGGTTTGTACATTGTACTATAACTGTTAGATTCGCATTTCGTTTTGTGACACTTTTGCATTTAATCTTTGTATTTTTCATAAAAAAACGGACTTTTTTTTACGATGGTGGCAAAAAGTGGCTATCCACCATTTTCTGCGATAAAATAACAGGGTTTTTTTTTTTTTTTTTTTTTTTGGGCTGAAGCTAAAAGTATGTCTTCTAGTATGGCATGTACATATGGGTTCCCTAATGTAGAACAATCTTGTTTCAGTAAGGCAATGGGTATAGCAGCAGATAGTTGGCTAGTGTATATGGATCGAGTGTTGACACTGGGAGATGAATGCGCAGATGAGAAAGCTGCTTTAAGGAGAAAAATGGATGAATTAATTAACATATACTATGATGCACTGGACGCGCCGAAAAAGGGAAAAAAGGTCAGTTCCCTCAGCACTAGATTCAGGTTTTGGGGGCATTAGTATTGTTTAAGATTTACACATCCAAGATGTTAATTCTTTGCTTTCTGAAACTAATTTCAGTTTACTTGCTCTTCTGCTTTTGCTTACTTATATTATACATATGTGAAAACATTTTCTGAATATACTTCTCTACATGCTTGTACCGATGTGGAAATGGACTTTTACAGGCTAATAGACGTGTTTGTTTGGAGAGTCGATAATTAAATGCTGAAGGCAGTTGCACTGTCCCATACGGCCATACCTTAACTTGTGTTTGGTTGTTTAGTTAGTTCATAGGTTCCTGAATTCCTTTTGCTTTTATCTTGCCTTCTTGTTTTCTTTTCTGTTCATGGTTCATAAGAGATAGTCTTGCTGTTTCAACCTTATAGTAAGCATTGCTGTCAAGGAAAGGAGATAGACTTCTAATTACATAAGTGTGCAAAATATTTCTGACTCTCCAACGATGAAGATTGAATGAGTTAATTACTTGAATTATGAAGTTGATTGAGCACTTTCATGTGGACCTGGAAGTAATTAATAATGTGTTTTTTAGTCACCTGGTCTTTAATGAATTCTCCTGATCCATCTTGACTTTAGCAGGTATATTGAGCTATGAGATAACCAGTTTGCTTTTCTGTAATTATTATGCACCCTATTTGCTTCTATCTGTTTTGTTTGTCAATTTGTGACTGTGTTGGAGGGCAGCTGTGTAGTGATGCTTCCTTGCGGTTATTGCAGTATGAACCTACTTGAAGTCACTTAAGGGTATCAGCCTAAGTGTAGCTCTGGTCAAGTATATATTTTTTTGGTCTCTGATATCAGCTTTTGTTTCCAAGTTTCACGATCTAATTTGTACAGGTTGTGGTTCCTGAACGGCTGATACCGGAAAAATATCCCCATTATATGGGAAGAGGAGAGCATTGCACTTATAAATCCAAGTCTGTTTTGGGTGAAATTCATGACATAGTTGATCAATTCATTACTCCAATTACAAGTGAGCCTCTTTTTGTAGCTTCTCTTCTGCACCCTATGGCAATTTATTGAAAAATGCATTGCAATTCATTTGCTGATCTGAAGCTTATCAGATTTTTTGGTTATACAACAATTGGATGGATTGAAGTTGTTTTTTCCAGTAGAGTACAGAGATACAGACCCCTCAATGGCCTCTATCTGCATCTAAGTCTCCATACAAAGTAACAGTGCACCTTACAAAGCAATGCTCACATAATATAAAATATAGAGGAAAATAGTTGATTTGATGGTGCAAATAGTGTTTCCGTGAGCTTCATACTAATTTACTGCTATTGTTTTGTTGTACTCCCATTTATATGCCTACAAGCTTCTAGGATTTTGGGGTACTATAATGCCAAAACGTCTTTGTTATGCTGAACTTTAGAAAACATTAGCAGCACTGGCACTGCTGCAGTGGTAAACTTGTATCGGAAAAAAGGGGCTGATCTCGAACCTTGGTTTTATCTGACTCTTTCTATTCATCTTCACTAAGTGACAAATCAACTGTAGTGTATTTTTAAAAATTATCCAGTCCTTGATTTGGAAGTCACATGAGTAAGGAAATAGTGTTACTGCTGATCACTGGTGCCTGGTAGTAACTGTATTGGGTTTGTTATATATTGTTTTTCCAGTTTGGAAACTGAAATGCTTTGACGTTGAAATTCCGGAAATGCACCGAAGATTTTGGACTGATCATTACTCAAGTTACAGAACTGATATGCAGAGGGTTCTGAATGAATCTGGAAACACAGTTGCAGTTTATCAGCATTACCGAAAGGTAATCTGTCAACACATATTTTCTTATAAATTTTGCATATGTTTTCTGTAGAGCTTCTTTCAGGCCACGTATCTTCTACTGCATGACAATTTTAATCATTACTAGGTACTATATGGCGGTGTTGATGATTTGGAGTCAAGTAAAAAAGAGTGGGAAGAGATTCGACTTGAGGCCTTGGCAATATATCGTGTTTGCTATGACTATGCAATAGAAAAAAAGGAACCAAAATAATGTGGCTTTGCTTGGAAAGTTGCTGGAGATGCCTTGTGGAAGATACATTTGCAGGATACGGAAGAAAAGTCCTTACTGTTTGCTCCTTCAGTTGTACGCCAGATGATGCGTTAGTATTATCGAATGCCTCGCTACTCATTGTAAATTACTTGTAAGTTATGTTTAGATGGAAGATCAACGATGCCAACGCTACTTATGGTGCGAGGTCTTTTGGGTATGATCTGTTAGTCTCCTTAGTCGTGTCACACAACCATGCTTAGTTTAGCCTTAACTTAGCTCGTTTATCTTTCGTTTCTTGCAGCCCCCGTTTTTTCCTTAACTGGCCTTTTGTTGATAGGTATTTTCCAGTTGGGTTATTATCGGGCTCTCTAACTTCGGCTTGTATGAAGTATAAGTTTTATATCAAGCAATGTTGCTATTTTTCTAAGTCACAGTAATGTATTATACTAACTAAAATTATCTACTTAAGCTAATGTGTTTGGCTTTCAACAAGTACTTTTTGGTGCAAAAACAATTAAAACATAGTATACCCCTAACTAGGACTTGCAAACATTTAAATATGCATACATGTTTTTTTTTTTTTTTTTTTTTTTTTGCTGTTTAGAGAGTCACAAAGGCGGGGTGATGAGAATCGATCCCATGATCTCTTGGAATCGGGATAAAAACTCTAACCACTTGAGTTATATCTCACTCTTTTCAACAAGTGTATCATTATTATGATGATTTAATAAGCTTTTGTTTTTCCTTTACTCCCTCTGTTTTTTTTAAAGTGCCTCATAGTGATATGAAATGTATGTTGATGTAAAAATTTTGACCAATAATATCTTTAATTATCATTAATTATAAATTATACCAATTGAATATTAATAATCTAAATTGAGACGATTTCAACAAGTACACACAAGACTGAAAGGGATGGTGTCCTTCGAACAAGTGTATTATTCCGATAGAGGGTTCGGAATTAATTAGGAAAGTTAATTATTCAGTGAGGTCAAGTGATCGGAATGTCTAGTTGGAGGTCGCTTCCGATCAGTAATATTAATGAATAATTAATATTACAGCTTGCTCTTGATTGAACCCTCCGGGTCACACCCAATCGTGTAAGCAAACCAAGGCGACGAATTAATCCGGAGGATTAAATAAGTCGATAGAGATTTGACAAACTAAGATGTCGGATTCCGAGCTTAGAGCGTCAAACGTCGAGTTGGCCTAGCCTCGCGTTGGCCTAGCCAAGCGAGGGCTAGGCGTGCAAGGCTAGCAAAGCTGCTAGCTATGCGCTAGCCTCGACTGCAAGCCCAGAAGCCACGCTTGTGTGCTGACTGGGCGAGCTTGTGTGCTGGCTGGGCGAGCTGGTAGGGCAGGCTAGCTAACACCGCCAGCCCATAAGCACATAGCAAGTACGTTAGGCCAGCACGCTTGCGTGCGCTGCCAGCTAGCGAGGCCAACCCGCCATAGCGCAAGCGCTAGCAACTACCTGGGCTTGCGAGGTAGGCCCAGCCGAGGGCCAAGGATGCCAGCGCAGCATGCCTTGAGGCCCAAGGTTTGGGGTGTGCCATGCACATGGGATTGGTGGGTTTATGCTTGCTCTCCAAGGATGGGTTTGTGGTCCTTACCTACTCCCTCCCTCATGTTGTCACTTGTCATTTAACTATTGCATAGCTTATTTAATTTAATATGGAATTAAATTAATTGCTTGTTTTCTCATTTCACCAACTCTCCCACATGGAAAGTTGATGGAAACTCTTAGGAGTACTTTCCTATAAATACCCACCTTGGGTATTGGTAATACTCACCTGAGTTGATGAACTCTAAGGGAGATCTCCAAAAGCGAAAAACCTTAGTTCGTAAACTCTAAGTAATTCTTGGTCTAGCCCCGTCTAAGCTACGGGGTAGGGGCCGGTTCGGTAATCGAGGGTGTGAGACGTTGGAGGTTTTGCATTTGCGGGGCTTGAAGTTTTTCAAGTCCGAGCTCGATTAGTGAGCGAAGCACGCGTCAAGGGTGAGCTTCTTTCTCTCTCTTCTCTTTGTGTGTTTGTGTTTTATTTATTTGCATGATTTGTTTATGTTGTAATTATTATGCATGAAATCCGATTTTCGAGTTTTGTTTCCGCGCGGTGTTGGACACCGCAAAACCCAACAAAGACTATTTTTTTCTTATGTATAATTCACAAACAATGGTCAAAGTAAATCTAATGAATAGTGCCAAAATTAGGAGAATCAGGAGAATCAAAATTAAACCAAGAAAAAAAATTACCGGAAAACCAACACCCTAAGAGGAACATAAACCAGCAATCACAACTAATCTGACAAGAAAGAGCAAAAAGGAAATAGGATACCAGTATATAATCTGAAATGTATATGTCAATTTAAAATCAATGTCAATTCTTGTATGTGTCATCACAAATGTTTAGATCATATTAGCCGAAAACTTTTTTAAGTACTAACATTTTTAGACAAGATCGAAAGGATACAAGAGCTACAAATAGTCAAAGGAAAATGCAGGTAAACAATTGAAAAAAAGGCGGAAATCAAGCTAATTTTAAACTTTAAGCTTCACTAAAGAGTATCACAGCCAAGGGGGTATACAACTTCAAGAGGGGTACAAGAAATAGGAGAGGAAAAAGGGACAGATGGCCTGAGAGGCTCACCTGAATGAGTCGACTCGGAAGAAGTAGACTTAGACTTGCTACCGCCGCCGTTAGAGCGGGAGGAAACATTCTGGCTATCAGAGGCGTCCGACATAGTCGAAAGAATGAAACTTGGCAAAAGAGAAAGAAAGTAAAAACCCCCCAACAAGGAAACAAAGTCAAGAAAAGAGGAAATTTAACTCAAAAATGAGTGGTAAAACAACAATGGCGAGTGGAAATACGACAACAACAAGAAAAGAATTGGCCTTTGAACAAGAAAACTAGTATACAAGGACTAATTAACAGAAAGGCGAAGCAAAAAAGCACAAAATTGGGGAGAGATATACTTAATTTTACAAGTTGAGTACAAAAATGGCGGGACAAGGTTGAAAGACGATACCTTTTGAACGGCGAGGAACAAGAACTAAGCGAGCGATAGACAATTTGCGACGAACTCACAGCGAACGACTCCCAAAAAAAATTTCGAGTGCAAAGAAAAGAAGTACGAAAACCGCGATAATTAGTGTTGAGAATAGGGGAAGCAAGAGAGAGTTTTTGAAATAAGAATGAAAGATGAAGAAATCAAAAGAAGAAGATGAAAATAAAGACAATAAGAAGTAAAAGGGGGCAATAAATGGTAGTTACCTACCTAATAAGGAAAAAAAAAACCACCCACTCACAAGGCCACGTGTAAAAAAATAAATAAATAAAAAATATTCTTTAGCGGGAGTAATTAAAGCTTCTCGCTCAGTCCAGCTCGTCGCTTTGAGTAACTTCAGCGGGAGTAATCAAAGCTCCTCGCTCAACCCAGCTTGTCTCTTTAAGTAACTTCAGCGGGAGAAAACAAAGCTCCTCGCTTATCCCCGTCGGTGTTTGGTGGGAGTTAGTGAGGAGTTACGGGCTACTATGGTGGTTAGGGTTGTTGCAGGCCGATGATAATGTGGAGGGAAGAGCGTTTTGGCTGGGGGCTGTCGTGGGGTGCTGGATGGTGTGATGGGTTTTTATCGACTGGAGACCGAAAAGTGGTCTGCAGTCAAAGGAAGGGTCTGGGACGGGGATTTTAGGGGGGGGGGGGGGGAGCGGCGGTGTGGGCTGGGATAGGAAAGGGAGGCTGTCGGAGTGTAAATTTAAAATTAATTTTTTTTCCTTTTTTTTTTTTGTCCAATCACAATCTGATCGTGTCAGGTAACTTGGAATATCAGGTCATTGACTTTTGTTGACCGGTTTGGGATTGAAGAAAGAAAATGCAGTTTAAAGTTGAAATTATTACAGAATAATCAAAAGTTGTGATTATTAAACTGTATTTTTGCAGAAAAAAATTCTCAATTTTTTTTTAAAAAAGTGGTGGGTCCTGTGACCCACCATGACCAAGCATACATCCGCCATTGATTGATCTAGTCATGTCTCATGTGTAATCTTATAGAGTATGTATTAAGATGTATTTTAAAGATCCTAAAAACTCATATGAGACAAAAAAAAGTACGGAGTATTTTGTGTAGCATGTAGCCAATACAAATTATTTCATTGAGTACATTTTAATTTAATAGTCACTTGACAAAAAACTATCATAATGAGCTATAGTTATCTATGAATAGATCACCGAAAGTGTCTTTAACAAGATTTGATCCTACAACTTCATAGTTGTGAGATGCAAATAATTTTAAAGAATAGATCAAGAGTTGGACGTAAAACGTATTGTAATCATGCAATATCTTGTATAAATATACAAGTATCCATTTAATAATGTTCCTAACATATTTTGTTCCAAGTGTTTTATAATGTTTTGAACATATCTACTAGTACTATTTTATTCTATTTTTGGAAGTCTCCTTTTATTAACTTAATATCTACTCATTTTCATTCACTTCCTCTTACTTTATCCACACTTTTTTTTTCTTACATCCCCCTACTAACCTACCCCACACACACTCTCTTCTTACCTCATCCGTTTTTTCTTACATTCACCCATTTTTTGCACTAATTTTCCCATATGCCTTAACTTATATTCCATTCGTCCCTTAATCTTTGACCTTTTGGCTAAAATGTAGTCCCAAAATGATCATCCCATTTGCATTAAAATGTTTTCCAATTTACAACAATATATGTGCAAAGTTAGCTTTTTTATGTAAATTTTGCTTTTCCATATACTTTTATTACTTTCTCTTTCTACATTTTTACAAACCCCGAGTAAATTTAACTTTTCAATGTAGTTATATTACTTCCTGTTTCACTTTCTTTATTCCCATAAAATTTGCCCATAAGGGTCGAACAAAAAGGGACGGAGAGAGTACATATAATATAGAGTATATACTCCATTCATTTTTTATTTGCATCACTGTGACCAACACATTTTGACGAACATAACTTTGACCATTTTTAATTGTCTATTAGTAAAAATTGTTAAAAAAATTAAATTATAAAAAATAGGCATTGTAACTAATCCAATGATATACTCCCATAACACTTCTAAACCCTTATTCAATTTATAATCTATTAACCTATACTAAAAGCAAATCCTTTCATGACACTTGTCATTATCTTGTAAAAAAAATTCCCGCCTTTTTCGCTGCTTTTTTTTTTTTGTTTTTTTGTTTTTTTGCAAAATATTTAAGTAAATATTTATAGTTTATGATATTTTCTTTCCAGTTTGACAATCATATTCCATATACCCAAATAAAATATTTCTAAATATCTTATATGTACTTTATAATTTGTAATATCATTCTAATATCGAAATAAATGCATTAGTTGACTTTTTACACTATTCATATGTTTATTTTAATTTGATCTGCAATTTTTTTACGAATATAGATATGGTTTCAATGTATTTTAATGATCCCAATA